CAGCTGTCTGGGTGCCAAGGGGGTGAAAGCATGGCTGCTCCAGTCACCTCTGCTCCCCAGGGGGGGCACGGGAGGGTGAGAAAAGGGGGTTTCCGCTTGCATTGTGAAAGGGGAATGTGACGGGTTTCCCCCCCTCCACTGGGGTCAGTGGGATTTCTAAGAGAGTGGTCATCCCTGAAATGCATCCCTGCGGCATGCAGGGAGGTCACCCCATCCCCCTCGCAGGGCTGAGCCTAGGGGACCAGAAGGGACAGTGCATGTGGGGAAGAGGGGATGTTTTTGGATCCAGGCTCTTCAGAGGCACACGCAGGCAGGGAACGGTCCGGGGATACGGTGCAATTTGGGAATAGGGGAGACCATGACCTGTGCTGACCCATTTAAGACTCATCCAGAGCAATTTGGGAGTGCTGGAGCTCCAGCCCTGAGCACACAGAGAGCACAAGGCATCCCTGAGCAGAAGGGATGCACTCAGCCCTGCAGGAGCCCCAATAATGCAGCCGGTAATTAAAGTCGAAACCGTAAGTGGGCAGGGGGGTGGATCCCCATGAGGAATCCAACACATCAAAACGTACATGGGCTGTGTGAGCATCACCTCCACCCCCTGGCTCTCCTCAGGGAACACCAGCCCTGCTGTCACCCTCCCAGAGACCTGCCGGCTGCAGGAGCCCCCGGGGCAGCTGCTCCCCGCTGGCTTGTGGGCTCGGGCATGCTCCCCGGGGTGCCTTGCGGTGTTCTGCTTTCCACCTCCGAGCTACGGAGCTGGAAAGGGCAAAGGGGGAATTTCAGCAAATTCCAGGCACAGCCAGTCCCTGGGCCAGGATCTGGCCTGGCTGTGTTCACCTCATTGGGAAATACTGGGCAGGCATTGCAGCTGTTGCAACTTCCCTTGCAAGTCCCGGCACCGGGGAGCCTCCCGCACGGCTCCCGTTGCAGTCCCAGCCATGGTGTAGCACGGGGCCTGGGCCCACCACCAGCCCACGGGGCTTGCGCCCCACTGGATCTCCTCTAGCTGAGGGAACCCAGCCAATCTGATTTAAATGGAGTTAAGGGACAAAAAAGAGCAAATCATGCCTTTGCCCAGAGGGAGGAAAGATGGTCCGGAGGAGGTGGCTAAGAAGGATGCAGAAGGTGCCAACTCCTGCTCTGTTAGAGCCCATGGAGTCACCATCGCTGGAAGTATTCAAAAAACGTATAGACGTGGCACTTCAGGATATGGCTTAGTGGGCATGGTGGTGTTGGGTTGATGGTTGGACTTGTTGATCTTAAAAGTCTTTTCCAACCTTAATGACTCTGTGTGTGATTCTGTGATCTGTCCCTAACATTTATGGCCTTCAGTATTGTTGATGTTGAGGTCATCGTAGGTGATGGGCAGCAGAACCCTTCAACTGGGTGCCACTTGACCCCCCAAGCTGAGCACCCATCTCCCGGGGTCCCTGTATCGTGCACACGTGTCCCTCAGCATCATCTCTGGGCTATGCAGTTTCCCAGTAAGGTGGTTCCTGCAAATGTCCTCAGACATGCTGTGATGGCACCAAGACGGAAGTGGCCAGGTAGGATGACCCCAGCCCTGGCTCCACCACCTGTCCTCCTCTCTGCAACACCCCCAGGGGTTTCAGGAGGGAATGACTGGGGAACAGGTTGGAGACCTGTGCAAAAAGCAACCCATCAGCAACTTCCTTGCCATCTCCCATGTGGCTTGGCAGGAAGGATGCCTAGTGAGGCTGCAAACCAAACTCACCTGGGGACAGATCTAAAAGCACGTGGGATGTACCAAAACTCTTGAGGGCTTCTTTCTTTCACTGCTCTGTTGGCTCCTAGACTGACACCAGCCAGAGGAGGCTGTGGGGCTCAAGATGGTCTGGTGCAGCTCTGGGACATGGCTCAATTTGGCCCCGCCACAGGACTTCCTCAGAGGAGAGCAGATGCTCTTCTGCCATGCCTTGGCAAGCTGCAGCCCAGGAGCAGGTCTGCAATACCCAGCAGGATGGGAGGGAAGTGGAGGGACCTGGGGGTCAGGGGAAGTGGAAGGAGGACTAGCAGCATGAGGACACCCCAAAGCCAAAGGTCTCCAGCCAACCAAACAGAGGACATGGGAAGGAGGGCAACTTTGGAGCTACATGCAGGTGAAGAAAGGGTTGAGAGGAGTCTCTGGGCTGGGGACCTCTAGGACGGAATGGGTGCCAAGGGATGTCCAGGTCTTGGAAATACCTTGGGGCAGGAAGGTTGGGAGCCCCTATCACCCACCAGCCACTTCTCCACCTGCTCTCTGCTCTCAAGACCGTGGCAGACCCCAGGAGGGCAGTGTTGGTGGAGAGGGCACCAAAAAACACCTTGAAGCTTCCATTGGAAACCACAGCTCCTCTAGCACCTTTGCAAACAGCCCTTGGCACCCATGGAGCTGCTGCAGTGTAGCTGGCTCCTGCTTCTCAGGAACAGCACGGGGCAGAGGGACGGAGCCAGTGCACATGTCTCCAGGTGAGCCTCGCTGGAGCTCAGCCCGGCGTTGCAGCCCCGCACGCTCCGCGGCCGGCACAAGCCCGGAGC